CTGGTACCAAAAAAAAAAAAAAGAATCCTAGTTTCCTATTGCCATGTTGCTGCTCATTCTACTCAAATCTTACTGTTAGTGTAATTGAATATCAAAACTGGCAATGGAAGCTAAGGAATTAAAAAAACAACCATGATGTACCAGTAATAACTTTGTCGAATTGCTGATTCAAAGTTTGAGATGCTTAAGTTTTTTTCTCGAGTGAAATTTGAGCTTTGAACACAAGGCAGTATTGGATTCTGTTTTTTAAATACTTTGTTCAGAGCAGTGTACTAGGTGCTATGGAGTAATATTAAAAAATGTATGTGAGGGGCTGGGGATTTAGCTTAGTGGTTCCAACACCTGCTTTGCAAGCGCAGGGTCCTGAGTTTTATCCCTGGCACACACAAAAAAAGTATGCGAGTCCAGCATGACTCCATGGACTATTAGAGAATCCAATCTAAAAAGTAAAACTCTAAAACTTGTAGAAAATAATGTGGGGGAATTTCTTCATGACCTGAGGCTAAGGTGCAATTTCTGAAATAAAATATAATGAGTACCCATACCGTAAAGGAGAAAGATCCAAACATTTGGCTACAAGAACATTAAGATTATTGGTTCATCACCTGCCCTAGAAAGAGACACAAAAAAGATACAGAGGACGTACATCTTGAATACATAAAACATTCTTATAATTCTAAGAAAAAACCCAACAGAAAAAGGCAAAAAAGGGAACAGGCATTTCACAGGTTAGAAAACAGCATTACATGGATTTCAAAAGAATTTCAGCCCTATTAGTAAGAAGAGAAGCATAAGGCTGAACTACCACTTCAAAGCCCCCTCTGGGCCAGAGGTGAGGGCGTAGGTGATCCTACTGCATTGAGCGTGCAGTGAGTTCGTTTTGTTCTTTGGAAAGGCATTTGGCAGTGTGGTGTTGAGTACCCGAATACCATGTGACCCAGGAGTTTGCTCTGGAAGCATGTCCCTTCGAGAGCTCTGGCAAAGGTGCCCCGGAGTTGGGGACAAGAATGTGCATTGCACAGACAAAGAAGTAGAAATAGCAAATAAATTCATGAAAAAATGTTCAACATCACTGGTCATTCAAGAGATGCAAATGAAAAGAACGCTGAGATTCCACCTCATTCCAGAAAGAATGACTGCTATCATGAAATCAACCAATAACAAATGCTGGCGGGTCTGTGGGGAAAGAGGAACCCTGCTCCACTGCTGGTGGGAGTGTAGACTGGTGCAAGCACTGTGGAAATCAGTATGG